CCAAGTTTGAATTTAAAACAGAGTGGATTTGACAAATTGATCCAAAATGCTACTTTCACAGATTTTTTGCAGACAACGAATTAATTTTTCGAAGTACACTCTTATTATTCGTGTAATGACCTGTCAAACATCGTCACAATCAAATATATCTTGAATTTATTTGAAATTTTGCTGAATTCCGAAACCCGCGTAGTAAAGAAATATTGTTTGTATCATTATGTAGAGTTTGCCTCCTTCAAGTTTGATGGAGATTTGGTTTGTGGGAATAACGACAATAAAAGTGGTCCAAATTTCAAAAAAATGTCCTTATTCTCGCAATTCAAATCTCCATTGTTTGTATTGTAGAAGTTGTTTTAAAGGCAGGCGTTTTGCTTTTGGCATGTTTGTTTCACATTTTGACAATGCTTATATCGCAAAGATACCTGAATGATCAATGTAGAACCCCGAAAGTCATGTGGCAAGCAATATTCCCACAATCAAATCAAATAACGAAACCATGTCTCATATAAGTTGCCCTGAGATAGTGATGAACATAAGGAAATTACTCATAACTTGAAAAGCCCGCAACCGATTTCAATTTTTTTTTCAGCGATGAAAAGGCGAATGATGTCGAAATGAATCTGTGATGAAAAATACAGGATGTTCCATTTGAAAATTTCTAGTGAACGTCGTCTGAATCTTATATACGATATTCAAAGTGTAAACTTTAACACCCTGTGAAGGATAATCTCGCAAAATTACTGGATTGGTGTACGTGAGACCTTGCTACTACTGTATGCAAAAAATCTTCTCGAAATTTTAATAAACGAATATACCATATCCAATGCAACATGACCCTTCAATAGTAGTAAAAATGGGTTTATCAATTATAACTTGGCAACGCCTCAACCGAATCCATTTTTTTTCACAGCGATGTAGAGCTAAACCGTAACGAAATGGATTTTGAATAAAAAATACTGCGTGTTCTATTTGAAAAAACTCGTCTCCGAGTCCTTCTGCTTTTAAAAAACACCCAGTATTGTTGAAAATATTTTTGAAATGAAACCTTCAATAACGGAAAAAATTTGTTTCCAAAATTTTTTCTCTAGTGAAAATGGATTTCGAGATATCGAAGAATTACGCACTAAATGGACACACTGTATAATACCACAAGTGATAATATTTTGCCGGAAATATTCGGTGATTGTTACGACAGCTTGTTGCCTAGTAATTTCGTGAATGACATTGTTATCAAAGCTACGAGCCGTAGGCGAGTAGTTTTGGATCAATGTCATGAGCGAAATTAGAGCAGCAAGCTGGAGTATGTCAATAATCGAAGAATATTTCCAGGAAAAATGGTATCACGAGTTGTATTCGTATGACTATTTCATGATTGAATGAGACAATATATATAAGAAATAGGAAACATAATTTAAGTATATTCCAACTCAAACTGCGAAGAAGAACATAATGTTAATAATGAAATACAGAATTCAATTTTTTAGAAATTAACTACCTACTTATATTTATTCACAAAGTGGAATGTACAATTTTGATAAACAGTATTTTTTTTTTATTATCTTGGAGATGGTTGCTCTCAAATGAGTGTATACAATAATTGCTATCCTACGAAGGCGCTGAAGGGCCACCTATACTTTTTTTAAAGTCGGAATTCAAAAAAAAAAAGTATAGGTGGCCCTTCAGCGCCTTCGTACTATCCAATTCAAACAAAATAAATTGAATTTATGTGACATGAAATAAATTAAAAAATTAGTTATCGTCGCCGAGGGGCTCGAACCATGGACCTTCGTATCTTCGCGCAACAACTCTATCAGTTGCGCCACATCATCTAGTAATTACAGCAGTCACAACAACTTGAGTGATTGAAGAAGATACTTCAAAAAGAAATTTGAATTCTAGTATTGTTGTGTCATCAGAGACCGTCAACAAATATGCAAACTTTTTAAATTACACATGAAACGTCCAGCCAGAATGAAATTGTCTCGCCTCTCGTACAAAATGTCTCACTAACGCGAATTATAAGTAAATAAAATGAAGTAGGTAGGTACTTAGGTTTTTGTCTCAGATTTTTTAATCCAAAGCAATCTTGACCAGACACGATGTCAAAATTTTATCGCTGATAAACGAGGTTTGTTGGTCACGTGTGGGTGAATTCGGCTTCTGTATTGGTAGAGCAAGTCCGATAAAATTTAATGAACAAAAAATATCGCTAGAATACAGAAGAAACCGTGAAAATGGTCGATTATGATTGGTTCTCGAGATCAAGAGTGGAATAGTCAATAAAATAGATTTGCAGGATTCAATCCCTATAAAAAAGCTATAACACTGAAGTGTTCCGTCAATTACACATTGTATATAGGTATAGTTTTAAAAACAGTATTTTTGCTGAAGCAGATATTCAATACGATACTTTTGTGGAAGTAATGACGAGTGTATGAAGCCTGGAAAAAATTTTTGATACAGAGAGTGTAAGACTATCTTTCTATCCATATTCGAAACAATTGCAACTCTTCCCCCTAAACAACTTGTACCGTGTGTGATGTTTAATTTATGTATTTTGTTTTTTTTTTCCATTCCTAAAAGCAGTTACTGACTAAATTTGTACCATTATTATTGTGACTTGCCCCTCCCTGAGATTATTTCTGCGGACGCCCCTGAACGCCGTTTTTAACTATCCGAATTTGAAAAACACAAAAGCAAATAAATTGACTCATCAGATGCTAGGTAGAGCTCTGATCATTATTTTTTCAAATTTCAAGATTCAGAATTGTGATCACCTTGTATCTGTTCCGATTAAATATCAGTAAATAAATCAAAAGTTGAGATAGGGACATGTGAGCCGTTTTGGCCGATAGTGAATAGTTTCGACACAAACAAATCCTAAATTTGAAAAATCTCGATTTTGAACACCCTGTATCTCAGTAATCATCCTCGATAGACCCCTAGTTTGACGTATCGATGAAATCAGCTCTTCAGGGATAATCTAAAAATGCAATGAAATACAGGGTATTCTATTTGAAATAACAAAGTTGTTGCTACCTACTTTTTGATAGAAGCGGCAAAACTGCATTGCTGAGATTATTTTAAATGAAGAGAGCGTATTGTAAGATATAAGCATGCATATTTTCATGTATTCCTCCCGACTAATTCTCGATATAGAGATAGTGTAAGCTCGTCCTGACATACCCTGTATAGAACTTCCTGGGAATGATCTAGGAATAAGTATTCTCATTATAAATGGTATCGATTTACGAGGAAAATATGTTCATAACTGTATGTTCCAAAAGTGACCATTAGGGTGGTATTTATGTCACAGGCGTTGAAAAACCCAAAAATCACCCAAAACCTGTTACAGTTCAAATATCCATCGCCGGATGCGATTTTACTAAATATACTGCACGCTAGCACAAACCACGCCCACCATAATACGTCATATCTCCAAACATTACCTATATACTCGGAGTCAGCACATCGCACTAAATATACTGTGCTCCAACGCAAGAATACACTTTTTATGATTTTGACACGAATTCGACTGAAGCTCTCTCGTTGTCAATCTCTTGTAAGCAATAAATTCATACACCCAAATGGTCTACTGGTTAGCGCTGTCGACTTTCAGTCTGAAGGTCCATGGTTCGAATCGCTGTGAACTTGAAGTTTTTTTTGCAACTTTTTTTTTCACCAATGTTTTTTTACTTCATTCTAGTTTTCCTTTTTGGTTAGTGCGTTTAGGATAAACAGTCTCATTTTATTCAATTTTGTTGAAGAACTCAAGTTTTGAAATATATTATTAATCAATGTGTTTCTACACTCCATTCGGTTTTCCTTCCTCAAAAATATTGCAATCAGGGATAGGTTAGTTCGTTAAGGATAAATAGTTTCTGAGTTTTGCCTAAGTACTTCGAAGATGAGATATTACGGTGGGCGTGGTTTGTGCTAGCGTACAGTATATTTAGTAAAATCGCTACCCGGATCATCACGAACATTTCACGAATATTCACGATGTGTGAATGCATATTCGATTTCAGCGGATAAGAAGAAGGTAACTGGAGAAAATAGCGGCAAATTCAACCCCATTGTTACCGCAGACAAGCATGACAAGTTTTATCAAAATCAGGATTTTGAATAATCAATGAAAAATCTTTTTTTATTGAAAATTTGACTCCCAGTATCTCAAAATCGAAGCAAGGTGGGACATTTGTTTATAGAAAACAAAAATATTTCTCTGTCTTAGAATATTTAGAATAATATAATCTATAAATATATACCTTTCTTCTTTCATAAATCCCAAGAAACAGTGTATATGTTTATACAGAGATATGATATAACATAAAATTAAATATTTAACATGATATGTATATGTGTTATTATGAATATAAATTCTAAAATAATTTCAATGATAACAAAAAAAATAGTAATTAAAATATTCATAATAATCATATCACATTTACGATAAATGGAGTTTCAGCCGTCTTTTGAACTTGTATAATTATATAATTCAACTTTTTCAGCGAATCGGGAAGATAATTATGTATAATTATTCCTTCATACCTGAAGAACATATACTTACCTACCTCTAGAATATTCTAACAATGAGTATATTCCATGATCATTCCTGAATAACATTCATAAAATATAATGGAATATTCTAGGATATTTAGATGAAATGTCCTATGAATATTCTTGTAAAACATTCTATGAACCTCCTCATCATATTCTATGAATATTCTTTGGAATATTCTGAAGGAGGTATGTTGTGAAAGTCGTGAGAACATTTATAGAATATTCTGTGCTCTCTGGGAATAGTCTTATTTTGATTACAACAATATTTACATCGAATTTTGAATCAACCAAAACGACACGCCAAATAGCCTCTACCCTGGGCAGTTCAAGTACCACGTACCGAATGTATTACAGTTTTTCGTTTTTCCATATTTTGTTGAGAGGAATCTCCCTGAGGCTTTTGTCACCACAACTCTGAAACAAGCTGTATTTCACAGGAAATATGAGGGGTTCCCGTTTGTAGGAATATTTCGAGCTACTACTCCTGTCCTGCTCGTTAGAGATCCTGATTTCGTGAAGAAAATCATAGTCAGAGACTTCAAGCACTTTCAGGATAATGACGTAGAGGTCGACAAAGATGTTGATCCAGTATATGCGGGGACGCCATTCATATTGAAAGGAGGAAGTGAATGGAAGACCGCACGATCACAACTCAGTGCTTGTTTTACTCCAGGGAAGGTAAGACGCACATCTCGTTTGAAAATGGTGTTCCTGCAAGGTCTGTCCAAAATGATACCATTGATTCCTGAGACCAAAGCAATGATTGCACCGAACTTACCTTCACACCACAACAGCTAACATCCTTTTTTTTCTCATCTCTTGGAGCGCACGAGAGGAAATTCCTATAATGTTCGTGGAACATCGCGCGTACCTAGGGAGGACAGGGAGAGAAGGTAGGTGTTGGATTTTTTATCAACTTTTGGAGGTCATAAGTTCTTGGGTATACTTCATGTGTCCTAAATTGCACCATAACAGATCAAATCTTCTGAAAATTGGCATACCCCTGGCTTTTTGGACACTTCATCTTCTTCTCCCTTCAAAAATGATGCTAACTCAGTTTTGGGGGAGTTGGAGGGGGGTCCACACTTTCGGGTTCTACAAACATTAACAATTATTCACAGCTCGGGCGCCACATATTTCATAGTGGTTGGTCCACTTGCATCAGGCAACTATCAAAGGAGAAAGGGTAATACAGGAGTTTGAGATTTTGACTGTCAAAGTGACTTAAACTTTATCTTTTTCAATTCCCGGATCACTATAGTTGCTCTAGAAAAAGAAAAATCAAATTAACTGAGACACATAATATGCCATATTTATTAAGTTTAATATTTACAATTTACACACCTTATATCCACACTTATTCACAAAATGATTTCAACAGCCGACCCTAGACTCTTCCTTTTTTTTCCTACGAGCGTGCGGAAAAGTATCTTTTCTATACGATTTTACTTTTTCGCATTACTTTCACTTTTCTGCATGATTCCGAAGGAAATACCAGAAGACATGTGGTGATAACTGTTGGCACCAGAACATACCCATAGCAACTCTTTGACATCATTGGAACACCGTAGAAAAGTTGGCGACCTTCAACTTTTTTACAGATACTTCCACGGAAAATGTTCCTCAGAAATCTCTGCTATCGATCATTCCATCACTATCAATACCAGTCAGACGAACTCGATAGGCCCAGTCAACACATTCTTTCGTTTTCACCCGAGAAATATGTCTAACAACACTCTACCAAAACTCGTTCGTCTATAGAACGGCAAAGCGTTGGAATTCTGTGGCAATGGAAGTATTCCCGAGAACTATTATCCTCCAAAAGTAAAAACTAGATACGCTTGATCTTCTTCGAAAATCATAGGAATTTCCTTCCGTGCACTCCAAGAGATAAAAAAAAAGTCCGAACCCACCAAATTCAATACATCTGATGTCGACTCTACAACCTGTATTAACCCTTAACTACTAACGTTCCGAATATACAGCCTGTCAGTGCCGATGAAAATCGAGACGATTACATACGAGATTCTTTCATAAGTGGACTCATCAGTTCAGTTCAGATACGACAACGACTCAGGGTAATGCAAATTTCATGGTACACTATTGTTAACTCGGAAACGGAGAGAGATGCGAACTACGTTAAATTACGAAAAAAATGCACAATTTCATGACCATTTCAAATATCAAAAGAAATCGAGGACATCCCTCTTATTTCCTGAAATATCCTGAAAAAACTGAAAATAGTCGATTTTTATTATAATCAATAACTTTTGAACTGTTTTTACTAGAGTTTTGAAATTTGGTACACTTACTGAAGGTCGCATGGCGAATTCAACGGTGATATGAAAAAAATTCTAGGCACACTAGATTCGAAGATATTGAAGCAAATTTTGATTTTTCTAATGGTCGCCATATTGGATTTTTGCACCATCCGATAGATCAAAAAATTACCAATTCATCGATGTATCACACTTCCATGTTTGATGATGGAATGACGAAAATACAGGAAAAATAGAAAATTAATAATTAAGTTAACGTATAAGATCTGCTATCAAGCTTACAATTTCAGAAATTTTTATTAAACGTAAAAATAATAATATTGAACTCAATTTCTGAGGTGCTCGAAGTGACCCCCTCCATTTTCAAGACAAAGTGCAGCTCGACTGCAAATGTCATTTGCTGCTCTCCGTATGGTTGCTTCCGGTATTGAATTAATTGTTTGTACAATTTGTTCTCGCAAATCTGCAGCGTCTCCTATTGTTCTGGCATGAACTGTATTTTTCAAATATCCCCATAGGTAATAGTCTAACGGATTTAGATCCGGAGATCTAGCGGGCCAGCGTACTGGACCGTTAGTGCCAATCCACTTCCGTGGAAACATTTGATGCAATGTCTGGGTAACCAATGCTGCATTGTAAGCAGGAGCACCGTCTTGCTGAAACCACATTTGGTGGATCTGATTAATGGGAAATCCATCCAATGAGGGTTCAACACTATCTCTCAACAGGTTCCTATAGTTTTCTCCGTTCAGGCGATCTTCAAGAAAAAATGGACCCAGAATTCGACCATTGAAGATGCCACACCAGACATTAACCGAGAATCTTATTTGATGACGTGATTCTTTCTTGAGCTTTGGATTCTCTGTGGACCAATAATGCTCATTGTGACGATTGAAAAGGCCATTATTTGTAAAAAGGCACTCATCTGACCACAGCACTTTCAATGGAAAATTTACATCATTGTTCACCCTATTCAGTAACCATTCACAAAAAAAGGATCGCCTGGCAAAATCTTCTCGACTGATTCCTTGTACTACATGATAATGATAAGGGTGGAATTTTTGCTTTTTGAGTATTCTACTAGCTGTAGATTGATGGACATTACACTGCCTTGCAATAGCATAAGTTGATATGTTTGGATTAATGTGCACTTGTGCTAGGATATTTATAACGTTAAGATTCAACCCTCTTCTCATTCCATACCTAGGTGAATCAGAAAGTTATTTATGGAAGAATACAAAAATGTTAATACATATCTCACCTTGAACGCCTTGTTGCAAAAGTTCCATCTAGTCTGATCTTCTGTGCAATCCTTTGGAAATAATTTCGCGAAGGCTGAATCCGTTCAGGGTATAAATTTTCATACATTTCACTAGCTCGCGTCGAATTTCGAAAGCAGCGAATGTAAACATCATACATATCACTCCTTTCTTCAATGCTGTAAACATTCACCATCTCAATTTGGTTTCAGTAGAGATGTGAACAATTATAATTTTCAAATTCTCAGAATGACAGATGAATTTTTAATGTTCTAATATCCAGAACTGAAAACTGGACATTGTGACAGCCGCCTCCTTGACATTGATGAACTGGCTGGCACGTGTCGAATCCCGTAAACAGCGATGTACAGGATGTTTCTTAAGTATGTGTAGAAAATTCAGGAGCAGATTGTGATACGAAGCTCAAGAAAGAATCATGCCATCAAAATATTATCGGTTAATAGGTGATACGGCATCTCCAATAAACGAATTATGGGTCCATTTATTCTTAAAGATTGCCTGGACAGAGAAAACTATGAGTTTCTTTTCAACCGAAATCACCAAATGTGGTTTTAACAAGATGGCGCTCCTGCCCACAATGCTGCATTTGGTTTTCCAGATGTTGCGTCAAATGTTGAACAAAGATGGATTGGTCGAGACGGTCCTGAGCGCTGGCTTGGCCTGCTAGATCTCCGGACCTGAATCCATTGAACTAGATCCTATGAAGATATTTGAAAAATACAGCTTATTGCAGAACAATCAGAGACGCTGCAGATTTACGAGAACAAATCGTATAAACAATCCATTCAGTACAAGAGGCAACCATACGGAGAGCAACAAATTACATTATTTGCAGTCGAGTATCACGTCGAGCACCTCAGATATTGAGTTTCATATTATTTTCTTGACTTTCAGTGAAAATATCTGGAATAGTAAGCCTAATAGCAGATCTTATACGTTAACTTAATTATTAATTTTCTATTTTTCCTGTATTTTCGTCATTCCATCATCAAACATGGTAGTGTGCAAAAATCCAATATGGAGACCATTAGAAAAATCAAAATTTGCTTCAATATCTTCGAATCTAGTGTGCCTAGAATTTTTTTCATATCACCGTTGAATTCGCCATGCGACCTTCAGTAAGTGTACCAAATTTCAAAACTCTAGTAAAAACAGTTCAAAAGTTATTGATTATAATAAAAATCGACTATTTTCAGTTTTTTCAGGATATTTCAGGAAATAAGAGGGATGTCCTCGATTTCTTTTGATATTTGAAATGGTCATGAAATTGTGCATTTTTTTCGTAATTTAACGTAGTTCGCATCTCTCTCCGTTTCCGAGTTAACAATAGTGTACCATGAAATTTGCATTACCCTGTATAACGTTGTCACTAACCATACGTCTGACAGACGGGACTATTTAAATGTCCATATAAATCCAAATTCTCTCATTATATTTTGGTGAGCTATTTAAACACGTTCTCTACATATTTGGTCTAGAGAAAATAAATGTTCAAAATTGAAATAGAAATACAAAATTCAGTGGCGATCTAAAATTCATAGAGGAGTAGTACCTAATGTTAAAAATTTTGACATTGATCTATATAAATACTAAAATAAAATAATTGAAATACTGAAATTATCGATGTTATTATTGTCATTCTGAATACAGTTAGAGTCGTAATGAAATATGACACAGAACTAAGTCATAAACATGCAAATTGAAAAAAATTACAATGCCTGTACAGGGTGGCTGGAATTCGAGGCTCATCATTGGGATCTCGTAAACCGTAAGAGATACAGGGTCGGTTAAATTATGGCAAAGTTGCGCAAATTTATGCTGATCAAAATGCCGCCTCAAAAGTTTGGAAATTCCGAATACTTCCGAAGATATTTGAAAATAACCGAATATCCGCGATTTCGTTTTTATTTTTTTGTGACTATTTGAAGTGATATGTCAAAATGAGTTTCATATTAGCATTGCCACTTTTTCTGTTCTATACAATAGCATTAATAGATTCGTGTTCCGACGTTTCGTCTTCGAGGAGCCATCATCAACTTTGTTTTTTTAAGTGGTCGAAAATAAATTTTTTGTTACTAAAACACTCTAATTCCAATTCTGAATCCAACGACATATAACACTTTGCAATTTTCTTACGTTTCTGACCAAAAAATCATTATCAGTGTTATTTGATGATTGTTAGGAGGAAATGAAACGTCGGATCAAAAACCTGATGATGGCAACTTGTAGAGGAGGGCAAATGGGTACAAGAATGTCAAATTCATTTTGGTCTATCTCTTATAGTAAAATCAGAAAAAGATCATTTCTTAGAATCAGAAACTTGGAGAATAACTTTTCATTGAAAACTAAAATAGAGATAGACCGAGAGTTAGACCACAATGCATTCGACATTTTCGCAGTCATTTTTCCTGCTCTACAAGACGCCGTCATCAGATTTTTGTTCCGGCGTTTCGTTTCCTCGTAACCATCATCAAATAAAAATGATAATGATTTTTTGGTCCGAAACGTAGGATAATTGCAAAGTTTTATGTGTCGTTTGATTCAGAATTGGAATTGAAGTTTTTAAGGGAAGACAAATTTTTTTCGACCATTTAAAAAAACAAAGTTGATGATGGCTCCTCGAAGACGAAACGTCGGATAAATCTATTAATGCCATTGGATAGAGCAAAAAAAGTGGCAATGCTAATATTATATTCATTTTGACATATCACTCCAAATGAAGTCAGAAAAAAATTAAAACGAAATCGCGGATATTCGGGTTTTTCCAAATATCTTCGGAAGTATTCATGGTTTCCAAACTTTTGAGCCTCGAGTTTCAGCCACCCTGTATATCCAGATATAGACGCAATCATTTATGTTTTATAGACGAAATTGAACTTTTATTGTTATTTAATAACTAACTATACGTCTACGAGACGGCAATCTATCTTTCACTGAAGATATTTCAAAAACTGAACCATTTACATAGATCATGCACTCCAGGGTACTGAATGAGTGCTGGGTGGACCTAAATTACGTGGTAGGACAATGTCAGATATTGAAAAGCAGGGGTGATCCAACAAATCGGATGCTGATATGCCATCTCTGAGACGTATGATTTTTTTTTAATCTTCTGGTTCCCACGAAAAGAAATATCCTGTAATGTTCAGAGGACGTCGTGAGAACCAAGGGAAATAAGGTAGGAATTGGTGTTCTTCTTAAATTTCTATATGCCTCGGGGAACACCTCCCTTGGCAATGTGTTCCAGAGCCTCGCTGTTCGTTGGATGAACAAGTCTTTGGTATCTGTCGACATCTCCCTTATACAGAGGAGTGGAACAACACAAATTTTCGCCACTCAAAGTGAAACATTGAAACATATTGTATATATTTTTCTAGGTGCAATCAATGTTTCCCATAATGCAGAAATCTAGTGAGAGAATGGTGCGATACATTGGAAACGAAATCTCAATATCCCCGCAGATGGAAAGTTGGGACCTTTGTGGCAGATACACATTGAACAACGTTGCCACTTGTGCGTTCGATATCGAAGGAAAATGTTTCGATGAACCTCATCCCAGTTTTAAACAGTTTGCAGATGAGTTTCTCGGTTATGATCACTTTTGGTCTACGATCAAAAATTCCATACTTCTTCTCATCCCATCTTCGACAAATTTCTTCAAAATTAAGTAAGTTCCTTCGCTAATATGGATTCTTTCGCTCAAACTTCGACAAGTATACTTTCATATTATATAAATACGTGAAACTCAGTCATTTCCACAAATGTTCATGAATGAACGAAATTGATAGATAACGAGAGAAAACTAACTACTTTCCTGGCTATATGCCACGCAGAACATTAAATTACAATAATTCATATAGACGAATAAAATCGCAAGTTATTCCTTCTTAAAACTCCGTGCTGCGCTTAAATGGTTCAGGAAAGCATGACTACCTGCAGACCGGTTTCGAGCTTTTGACTCTCATCAGTGCAGGGCTGTCCCAGATAGCATTCATCACCGCTATCTGGTGCGAACCTGACCGTTACCACCGATAAAACACGGTGGTAACGGAAGGACACGAACGCCACCTGAGCAGAAGGAAAAAAACACTCCAAAACAAATTCTCATGAAATGGGAGTGGCTGGTTGCCCAACTGGCATGATTTCAACTAAGAAAAAAAAGATACACTTGCGATTTTATACGTCTATACGATTAATTGCATATACAGGGTGTTCCGTAAAGACATTCGAATATTTGAGAGGGTGATTCTTCGATTCATTTTAAGAAGAAAACTTCATATGAACGCATGCCCTGAAAGTCTTAACTTTTGAGATACAGGGTGATGAACTTTTGGAAAATATTCAATTCGTTTTATAATAATTAACTGAGACAATATTCTATACATCTTCATGATATTTGGTACACGTCTTCTATGCATCAAGGAGCATTTTCTGATGTACAGAAATATTCATTTTCTCTACCCAGTGGCACCATTACGGGAATATTATTGTTTATATTTCACATCAAAAGTGAGCAACGACGGAATATTTTCAAATTTTGTATAATTTCATGGAAGGTTATTCAATTATGTACAAAAAGCACCCCTCGATGATACTCGAGAGAACGCTACGTTTTAGACAAGAAGAGGAAAAACTAGACCAGACTCCAAAATTTGATGATTCAGGACATCCATTACTGGATAACCACAGTAGGTACTATTTTGAAATTTTCATACCTATTCAGTCACAAAGTAGAGTCCCTGTATATACCTTAGACAAGAGTCCGGACACAAAACTGACAGCTGTTGAGGTTTTCAATATTTTGTTTCATTTGGTTTGCCCACCTGACAATGTGACGAAACACCATAGTCGTCCCGCCCGCTTTTTTTAATTATTTCGAATTTCTGTCACTGTCACTTTGAAATTTGTTGACCGCCAAAATTTAGCATTTTAAATTATTTCAATGTCCTGCTGCGTACATTATTGCGATCATTCATTTGAAAAGGGATTCAAGTTATTATTATTATTTAATAGTTATTCTAGTTAAAATAGCCCTATTTCTCACTTCTACCTACGGCTATGAACGGTTTGACAAATAATCTAACCCTCAAAATTGTTTCTGACAATCATTGATACTAGGGGAATTGAAAAGACAGAGCTCGATATACAGGGTGTTTCAGTTTTTTGTAGCAGGACTTCAACAGCTTGAAGAAGACATTTTTTCAAGATGAAAATCTCAAAAAACACATATGCGTGGGAGCTTCGTTTCCGATTTACAGGGTGTCAAAGTTTTAGATTTTCTTTATGTTTTTTGAATTTTCTCCTACAATTTTCGGAATAATTGATTGAAATGACTTTCAGGGGACGTACCCAATTTAACCCTGTAGAACTTTTTTGCGTGCCGCCTCTGCTTTCAATGGGACATAGATTCAGAGATTGTTTCTGCAATTTGGAAACTTTTTGCCCTCATGTATGTTTTTCGAGAAGTGTATGTATTTCAAGATAAATAAAAGTGGAATCCGAATCACTTCTAAGGGTACTGATAAAATTAGAACTGCCGTTCACGAGATTGAATTATTAAAACTCACAACACCTCAACCGTCAGAAGCGACAGTCTAGCGATGTATAGCGCCTAGACCGTGTGTCATACAGTCCCTGATATCGAAAGTTTAACCAGTTTCAGTTATATAGGGTGTCGTCCTAGAATTTTCTACAATACAATTACAGATTTTGCAATCCAGTTAGAGAAGTTTTTTCAAAATAAAAACATTTTTTCTTTGTTTTTCCTAGTTTTAATTATAATGGTGTTGAAAAAATTCAATCTGATTTTGCAACTGAATTTCATTTGGTATGGAAGCTCTCGGTCATTCTATTTTCCAATAAAATGTTTGAGAAATGTCAAATAAGTGTGTTTGAGAAATGACGGTTTTATTACAAGTAATTTATTTTTTGCATTTATCTCGAGATCCATACGATTTTCGAAAAATTTACATAGGGGCAAAAAGTTTCCAGATTGAAAGGACAATCTGAATATACAGGGTGAGTCATGAGGAACTGTACATGCTCCTACTACGAATAGAGGCATCTGAGGGGAATACCAAATGACCATCAGAAAGTGTCTCCGCCTCTTCTAAAATGATCTATAGGGTGATTTATGGGATATGGCCAAAACTTCTGTCAATCATAACTTTCCAACAGTTCTTTCGATTCCTTTCATTTTTTCTTGGATTATTATGCTGTCACTCAGCAATCAACTGACGTATTCAGAATCGTGAAAATCCAGGACCGGTCTTGAGAAATTCTGCCAATTTGGTTCATATAAAAAATTTCACTCTGTATGAGGTTTTAGTAAACTGTGATATGGAATTTCTAAAGTTGATGAACAGGCAACCAAAATGAAGTATTTCAAATTTTCCTCACAATTTTATTGAATTTCTTAGAAAATGATTAATTTAAACTACACACGAAACTTGGCAATAAATGTATTAATTTCAAAATTAATACTTCGCAACGCATGAATTTCACGAATAAAAGTAAAGGGTAAAATTATTCCTGATTCTTGTTTGTCAACTCCGAACATTTCATGTCACAGTTTATTAAAATCATATACAGGGTGCAATTTTTGGTGATTATTACCATGTACCAAAAATTTACTGAATCCAACCCTGGATATAGATGAATGTTGATTTTCAGTGAACTGAAGAATAGGAAATGATGTTATTCTTGCTTCTATTCGTGAAATTCTAGCGGTGCGAAGTATTCATTTTCAAATTAATACATTTGTTGCGAAAGTTTCACGTGTAGTGAAAATTGATCGTAGTCTAAGAAATTCTGTGAAACTCTGAGGAAAATTCGAAATACTTAATTTTGGTTGCCAGTTCATCAACTTTGACAATTCCATATCACAGGTTACTAAAACCATATACAGGGTGTAATTTTTGGTGATTATCACTCTCTACTAAAAAACTACTGAATCCTACCCTGGAAATAGAAGAATGTTGATTATTGTTGAGCTGAAGAATTGAGAATGATATTATCCCTACTTTCATTCGTGAAATTCATGCGTTGCGAAGTATTAATTTTCGAATTAATACATTTAATAATTTTGTATAACTCCTTACCTAATGAGTTGAAAAATATAGAAGAAGCAGAAAAATTTGAAATGAAATTAAAGAAATATCTGCTCAGTAAACTTTAATAGTACTAATCATTCACAATGTGATTACTTGTAATGGATTATGATATTTTCATTTTATATTTTATTATAATTCTTTTTTTTTTTAGGAAAAACAATAATTGTGCAATTATTATTGTTTCGATTTATTATGTTTTATAATATGTATGTTTTTGTTGTATATATCCCTATTATAAACAATAATGTTTCTTGGGGTAATAAAGACAATCAATCAATCAATCAATCAATTATTGCCCAAGTTTCGTGTGTAGTTTAAATTAATCATTTTCTAAGAAATTCAATGAAATTGTGAGGAAAATTTGAAATACTTCATTTTGGTTGCCTGTTCATCAACTTTAGAAATTCCATATCACAGTTTACTAAAACCTCATACAGAGTGAAATTTTTTATATGAACCAAATTGGCAGAATTTCTCAAGACCGGTCCTGGATTTTCACGATTCTGAATACGTCAGTTGATTGCTGAGTGACAGCATGATAATCCATGAAAAAATGAAAGAAATCGAAAGAACTGTTGGAAAGTTATGATTGAAAGAAGTTTTTGCCATATCTCATTAATCACCCTATAGATTATTTTAGAAGAGGCGGAGACACTTTCTGATGGTCATTTGGTATTCCCCTCAGATGCCTCTATTCGTAGTAGGAGCATGTACAGTTCCTCATGACTCACCCTGTATGTCCCATTGAAAGCAGAGACGGCACGCAAAAAAGTTCTACAGGGTTATATTGGGTACGACCCCTGAAAGTCTATCACCCTGTAGGTATTCAAAAACGCTCAATAGCCTCAAATATTTAGTTCTTGAAGTGTATTAGGTTTACCAAATGTCAATCAATTCTTCCGAAAATTCTAGGAGAAAATTAGAAAAACAGAAAAAAAATCTGAAACTTTGACACCCTGTAAATTGGAAACGAAGCTTATACGCATATATGTTTGCATGAGATTTTCATCTTAAAAAAATTTCTTCTTCAAGCTGTTAAAGTCCTGCTACAAAAAACTGAAACACCCTGTATATGTCTTATTCCTTTATTCAATCATCAATGCATTTTTTGAAAACAGAAAAGGACAGAAGTATAGCTGTGTCCGGACTCTTATCTAAGGTATATACAGGGACTCTATCACAAAGTAGACTGAATTTTGCCATCACGAAAAGATACAGGGTGAATCTATTCATATTTTCAACATTGACGACCTGTATCTCAAAAGTTAGGACATTCATATGAAGTTCAATTCTTGAAATGGGTCGAATAATCGGCCACTCGAATATCAGCATATCATTAAGGAACACCCTGTATTTCGGTAGGCAGGAGAAGTTTGTTGCTATGCAACATTCCAAGAAATTGGAATGAAATTTGTGATCAAAATTAACATTGACATTGGGTGAACAAAAAATGATGGATTTTTCAATAAAAAAATTACACAAAACTGGTTTCATAACATTTGGAGGAAAAATTATATATTTCACACGGCAGTCAATCCACTACTTTCCCGACTAGTAAAATAAATAACAATTTTCGTCCTCGCAGACTTTCAGAACTCGCCTACGGCTCGTCCTAGAATTATGTCTACTCGTCCAAAAAATAGTATTTTCCGTCGACCTCGTATTAACGACTAAGTTTAATGTATATGAAATCGTTCATTAATGACCCCTATTAATGGACGATTTGTCTATTAATGCACGATTGTTTTATAGGCAGCCAAACATACACCGCGTGCATTCATTGTTTATGCTATAACTAGCGGAATCTGCATTTAAATCGAAAATATGGATTTCATCGACGATTTTCCGTTAACGGGTTCGCCTTTCCAAGTTTCTTACACGATTTTAATCCCTGTTTTCTAACAGAAGGAATTTATTTCCTATGTTGATCATTTCGACAAATGTCAAATGACACTAATGTCAGTAACAAGGCTACTGGGTGATTCTTAGCAGTTTCCGGATGGATGATGAATTCGCGAACCAAGTTTTCTTCATTGCAGGAGAAATGAGAAACATAGTCGACGGAAAAATTTTGTAACCAACTTGTATATTAAAAGGCGATTAATGATCTCGAACATTAACGCACTCGCTTCGCTCGCACGTTAAAATATCTCGATCATTAATCGTCCTCATTAATACACTAGTTGGTTAAATAACTATTTCCGGACCTTTTACGTAAATTACCATTTTCTTGTTGTGTTTTATGATTTCCAGAATAATACAAGATCAGATAGCACAAAAAATATTAGACTATATAACAACTGCTTGGAAACATAGAAAAGAAAACGGTGTAGTTATGAATGATTTTATTGACTACCTTTACACCCTTAAGAGCGGCCCAATCCCGTTTACAGATTTGGATGCGACGTCACGTGCATCTGTTTTTCTCGAGGATGGTTATGACACAAGTTCTAGGGTAAGTGATAAATTGATTTTTGGTTCATTAATATTTGGCTACGACAGCGTATTTTGGGGCCATTGTTACATCTTATTTTTTCCTGATTGTCACTCTCAATCAGGCAATTGGCACTTTTATATAGTATTCTGAACATTTCACACCTAACATTTTTTACCAATCGAAAGCCTGTATGTTATCAAAGAACCCACACGTATTCCCGATGCCAATAACCATTCAGCTAACATACTTGACTTATTCCTCACTAATAATTCAGCACCCTACATCATAGATGTACGAGCTCCACTTGGCAATTCTGACCACACACTCATCTCCACAACCTGCCCATTTTTCATTCCATCAACTGCTCCGGCACCCCCACGTCTTATATGGCATTACAATTCAGGAGATTGGGACGGTCTCCGCATGTTTTTCTCCGAGTTTCCTTGGCATAGAGTATGCTTTGACTCTGAGGACCCTTCACAGTGTGCTGCGGAAATTTCCGAGATCATCATGCTCGGAATGGACACATACATACCTCATTCTTCGAAAAGATCATCACCATCGAAACCCTGGTTCAACAAAAACTGTTCTAGAACTGTTGCCTTGAAACAAACAGCCTACCATCGCTGGCCGCAAAAACCCTAACTTCGCGACTAGAGCAGAATACGTTGATGCCAGAAATAACTAAAAAATTGTTGTTTGTTGTTGTAAAATTGTTCTATCCGTCATTCGGTTGCCCCCTTACGAGCAACCCTCAAAAGTCTTCGAGAGTCTTGTGCGAGCAAGGAATGACGGGGGCCTTACCTTTTAACGTGTGATCCCAAACACTGCAGCCAAACAATAGATGCTTCGAAAGAAACATACAATGCCAAGATAAGATCGAAACTCATAGATTGTCCCAATGGCTCCCGTTCGTTTTGGTCCCTTGCTAAAGCCCTTGCTAAAGCGGTCGGAAGAAATTTCACTAATAGTTCATTTCCACCACTGTCCAAATCCGACGGCACATTAGCAACAACATCGCAGGAGAAAGCAAATATTTTTGCAGAGATGTTCGCAGCAAACTCTACTCTGGATTCCCAAGGAAAAGTGCCGCCAGACATTCCACCGGTTGAGAGTCGAATGCCCGAAATCCTCTTCCGTCAACGCACTATCAGACGAATTTTGCTTGGTCTCAAAACGAATAAGGCTAACGGTCCTGATGGAATTCCACCCATTATCCTCAAAAAATGTGCACCAGAATTAACACCGATTCTCTGCAAGTTGTTTACCGTCTCGTACAGGTCGGGTATTTTTCCATCATGCTGGAAGACAGCTAGAGTCCAACCAATCCCCAAAAAAGGGACAAGAACCTGCCCAACAACTACAGGCCCATTGCCCTGTTATCAGTAATCTCCAATGTGATGGAGAAAGCCATCAATATTGAGCTTATCAAATATCTGGAGAGCTCAGGAATCATCAATGATAGACAATACGGCTTTCGCCACCGAAGATCTACTGGAGATCTACTTGCCTACGTCACCCATTTATGGCGAGCTTCATTAGAAAAACACGGGGAATCTCTAGCTGTCGCGTTGGACATATCGAAAGCATTTCACCGTGTTTGGCACGAAGGACTCCTCCACAAACTACCATCATACGGCTTACCACCTCAGCTATGCCATCTCTTATCGAGTTTTCTTTCAGGCAGATCGCTTCATGTGGTGGTGGACGGTGTATCGTCTGATACCATTGGCATCAACTCCGGCGTTCCACAAGGATCAATTTTGGCACCAACATTATGCCTTCTTCATATCAATGATCTGTTGGGAGTAACAACTTGCCCCATCCACAGCTTTGCAGATGATAGTACCCTCCATACTGCGTTCTCTTCCAGAATTCCCATTTCTTCCCAGGAAACTAAGAACTCACGGCGCAGGCAGGTCAATGCTGTCAATGAAGACCTTGCTGAAATCACAGCCTGGAGAACCAACAACCTAGTTGAATTCAACGCCACCAAAACTCAATCCTGTATTTTCTCTAGAAAGGCGGAACTCAGTATGCTCGACATTGTAATGTCTGGCACCACCATCCCCACCAAGCCCACCATATCTATGCTCGGTTTTTCCATCAGCAACACTCTTTCATGGGATAATCATGTCAGATCCATCGCAAAAGCTGCTTCACAAAAACTCGGATTCTTATTGTTCCGTGCGAAAAGCTACTTTACACCTCAACAGCTTCTCATGATCTAGAAAGCGCAGATACGGTCTGTTCTAGAATACTGTTCCCACATATGGGGTTCAGCACCAAAACATACGCTGATGCTCTTAGATTCCATCCAGAGAAGAGCCATCCGCCTGGTGGGTGACGCCACACTCACTCACTCTTTGACATCATTGGAACACCGTAGAAAGGTCGGCGACCTTTCACTTTTCTACCGATACTTCCAGGGGAAATGTTCTTCGGAAATCTCTGCTATCATCCCTTCACTAGCAATACCAGTCAGACGAACTAGACAAGCCCAGTCAGCACATCCTTTCGTTGTCAACCTCGAAAGATGTCGAACAGCACTTTATCAAAACTCCTTCATCCATAGAACGACTAGGCTCTGGAATTCATTGCCTGAGGAAGTGTTCCCAACATATAATCTCCAGAAGTTTAAAAAAAATTCCAATACCTACCTCCTATCCCTATCCTCCCTAGGAACGCACGATGTTCTTTGAACATTATAGGGATTCCCTTTCGTGCGCTCCAAGCGATAAAAAAAATCGGGCTACAAGCAAACTACTTTATTGCTATGCCAAGCTTTCGAAAATTTTTATTTTCTTCAAGGCTGAAACAATATATTATGGTATATGAAACATTTTGTTACAATTCGATTCAACAAAAACAAGAACTTTCTACGAACTTTAGTAAAATACATTTGTGAAAAACTGAGTAGTTGAACTACTATCAACTTAAATTTTATTATTTTTTGTAACTAAAGTAAGTACACTGGGTTCTATTTAACCTAACAATGTTATGTCATACTGCTAAGAGTTCTGAACTACCAATAGCTGCCTTAAGACGAATATTTTGAAAATTCCCCCGAGTCGAAGATATTTCCCGGTAATAATTGATGCTCCCGTATAAGTGATAATTGTCAGTTTTAAAATGACAATTGTCAACAGTTAAAACACAGGAGCTTTATTTATTTATCCATATATATTTTTATCTAAAAAAAAAAGTTCGAGTGTTTTCTGGCAATCATTTTGACATCATCATTCAAGCAATTTGATCATTTTTAGATGGAACATGCGAACATTTTTATTTATCGCCAATCAGGACTCCTTTAGTAATTCTTTCAAATGACATTCTTTCTATCGCATTTTCTCGATAACTTCAAATAGGAAATTGTACTTTTTTGAAATTAACATCAAAGTATAGGTCATTATGTACAGATAAATACTTTTTCTACGGCAATAACACAAAATTGCTGTTGCTTCACTGTGTTCGATACATCAATGAGCTACTTTGTATGTCATCAATTTTACGTCCGTATCTGATATCACAATGACTCCATTAGGGGATATTTCATTCACATTCCCCGCTAAACCGTTACCACCGATATACTAACAAGGCCTAAAGGCTCGTAGTGAACAGCTCGTGACGTCAGCTAACTGAGGCCATCCATCCTTCGCGTGTCGACTCACGAATGTCGTCAGTTTGTTTAGGTATGTTCTCGAATATGTTTGAGAAGCGGTCGCGTGTCCGAATTCGTTGGTGTTTATTCATCAAAATAATTGGCGGAAAAATTACTGCTTTGTGAAATATTTTGTGTTGTGATAGGCGAAATAACAATGCCTTTCAAGTGTTGTGTTCCCTTTTGTCGGGTTAATTATGTGGGTGGTCCAAAAGTTCATGCTTTCAGTTTCCCGTTGGAACTATCGAAAAAGTGGGTATATGCAATTCACCGCGAGGATTCTACTCCATCTAAGTACAGTAGAGTATGTGAATTACATTTTACCCCTCCCCCCTCAAGGGCAAACGTTTGAATTATGTGTTTCAAGAACCTATCACAGCTATAAATTTTTGTAACGATGAAAAATTCATTTTCTCGCATAAAATGATAGATTGGTTAGAAACTTGGAAATCTGCAAATTCTAATAATAAACTAACAAACCAAACACATACTGCTTTGATTCACACACTATATGGAATGACAGAAGTTATACAATATTGTTTTAACGATTTCAAGATGAATTATGTTTTACTAGGAAAATTTCAAACAGATGATTTGGAACATAGGTTCGGGAAATATCGTCAACTTTCAGGTGGAGAATATCACATATCTATTCGACAATTGTATGAATCGGAAAAAGGCTCAGAATTCAATCACTGATCACGCTAAAATCTCGTACTTACGGTAATATACAAATCAGGCGCTTCCATAGTCGAGGAATCTAATATGGATAAATATAGTGATGACATGCCGGTAATTGTTGCTATATTACACTCAGAAAAATTCAGTGCGAATTTTGTAAACAGAACTTAATTTATAATGATGAAATAATAATAGAAGACAATTACTCTCTCATAAAAAGTATGAGTGAAGGAAAATTACCTTATCCGCAAGCTTTGATTGTGTAGTTAGTTTTGTATTCGTATATTATATTCAACAAAATCATCTCTGAATTCGAGGAAATACTCTTGAATTGAATCTTTAACTCAATACATTCTCAAATTTCTTTCTGAAAACGGTCATTTGCCTCGTGGCAATGAATGCAGAATTCATTCCAATGATATAATTGCAACTATCATATTAACATGTACTATACAAACACCCAACTTAAAAATTACTGTTTCAAATCCAACAACAGGAAATTGAAAACACTCACTGGCTAATCTTTTAGGTAATAGGAATTCTCCAAAATGAATATAGGTAATTATAACAAACGGCATGTCTATCAAAATAACATACATTTTCCCCAATTTTCTTTCGATCAATATCACGATAAGTTCATGTTCTGCGGGCCCTGTATAAGTAGGTGTGAAGTTTACCTCTAATCAGATTAAATCACTACAATTTTTGCCAATATGGGTTGCTGTAGGTGTTTGTGTTTTATTCTGGTTTTTTCTTTGGAACTTCGATTTTCCATAATAAAATCGAATGGGATGCGAAGAAGGGCTCAGTTGACGACTGGCATCCTTTTTTAACCGGAAGCCCTTCAAAAAATCAGCAAAATCGGCTCAATAATGACCTAAAACTAAAATTATTGAAATACGCGGTCGCCTCATAGCGCCATAAGCGCTTGTCGTTTCGAGCCACTGTTAGGCCTCACTAAGGTGACGTCACTACGGAGTCTGCAGCCACCAGCGTAGATAAGGAGGGTGTACTGGAGGACAGTACCCCGCCCCCCCCCCCTGAAAACACATAAATAGTAAAACAGTAAAAGAATTAATAATAAATTCAAAATGTTATACAGGGTGTTTCAAAAAACCTAACCCCCTTGGTAGAGTCGGTAGAACATTGCAAAATAAGTTGGGTTTGCTCTGTGAAAAAATGTCGAAACGGCATCCGTTTTCATGATACAAGGTGTTGAAAAAATTATTTTTTTACACATTTTTCACGATTATTCCGAAACTACTGGCAACATTGTAATGCAATTTTGTATGGATGTTTCTTGAAATCTGGCACATCGCATGAATTTGTTTTTATATCTGACTCTCATAGAGGGCGCTAGTTACACGGTTCATACCGAGTAGTTTTGAACATAACTTTTTTGAGGTTAGATTTTCCAATCCAAATATGACATGAACTTGAACATCATTTAATTTTACACCAAAATAGTACTCCTGGTGAAACTCGACACTATGTTCCGTTTTCGGAATATTTCGATTTGAAAATAATGGAGTAGTAATGATGCTGGTATAAAATGAATTTTATTGAGTTCAATTACCTATTTATTCAGGTTCAAAAACAATATAATTATTCTTGTGCTGAGCTCTTTGATGGAACAAAGAATCATAAGTAGTAAATTAAGAGATATTTGACTAGAAACATGAAATATTGAATCAGTTAGAGTAAGTGTTCAAAATGTCCTACGTTTCGAGGAATACACGATTCTATATTCTTTTTTTAAGAATGTATTATTCTTCTGAACAGTTGAGGATCAGCTGTTAGGTCATTTGAGTGATGTTCAATTATGTCTCACAACTCTTGACGTGAATTTACCTATGTAACATAGACTTTCTGCTCAAGATACAACAAAACTGTGTAATCCATGTTCTTAGTCAAATCTGTTTCGATGTTATTCTTGTGATTCATTGTTAAATCAATGAGTTTTGCATCAGAAATGTATTGGTGTTTTCGGTTCTCAATAAATAGGTGATAATTTTTCATAATACTCACTCTAATACATAGCTTTATACCAGCAACAGTTACCACTTCATCATTTTCAAATCGAAATATTCCGAAAACGGAACACAGTATCGAGTTCTACCAAGAGTACCTTTTTGGTGTGAAATTGAATGATGTTCAAGTTCTCATCAGATTTGGATTGAAAGATCTGACCTCAAAAAAGTTATGTTCAAAAATACTCGGTACGAACCGTGTAACTAGTGCCCTCTATGAGAGTCAGATATAAAAACGAATTCATGCGATGTGTTAGATTCCAAGAAACATCCATACAAAATTTCATCACAATGTTGCCAGTAGTTTCAACATAATCGTAAAAAATGTGTAAAAAAAATATTGTTTCAACACCTTGTATCTTGAAAACGGATGGCGTCACGACATTTTTTACTGAGCAAACCCAACTTATTTTGCAATGTTCTACGTACCCTAGCAAGGGGGTTAGGTTTTTTTGAAACACCCTGTATATCAACAGGTTAATGCCTGATTATGTTCTATACCAGGGATTCAAAGATTCTAGTAAAACAACGTTCTGAATATGTTAGTAAATTTAGAAATGAATTCTCTCCCAAACATTTTAGTCAGATTTGTTGCAATCAGAAATAAATCTTTGGAAAAATGAATGGGAAGAAGCCAAAAATAAACCTATAATAATTTACCCAAAGAAACAGCCTCAGATACTTTACAGCATTGCAGAGTATCGAAATATTTTCCACTATTTATACACTCCTGCAGATAAAATCTGTTATGCCGGTGAAAGATCATTTTCTATACACTTAAGTAAGATACTGAAATCATGGTTGAGGTGTACAATGGGTCAGGCTAGTCAGATTAAGTTTATATTAAATATTCATAGATATATTGAAATAGATATAGATGCTGTTAACAATAGGTTTTCCTCGAGGTTTTCAAAGCAATGTAAAAGACTTTGTTTCATAATCTAGTCATGGGGGTACCTGATATTTTGTTAATTAGATTTAATCAAGAGTTTTGAATGATAAGTTACCTACTTTATATTATCTAATGGTGAAATTGAGAGATTATTTTTTTTTTTTTTTCATCTAGTTCATATAATACGCATATAAAATATGTTATCATCGAGAATATTTATCTTGATTTGTTCATTTGAATGACTGATAATTGTTATTTCGTTAATTTTGAATATTCTAAGATATTAAAACAGCTTTAATAAGAGTTGAAGCTAATAAACCACCCTTTTGTGTTGATTTATTATACACTGAAACGCGTTGTACTACTAGGCAAACCCCAAATTATAATTTAATTTCCGCTACTGAGTACCCCCCCCCCTAGAAAAAAAACATACCTACGCGCCTGCCTGCAGGCCTTGTTAGTATCGGGGGTAACGGCTAAACTTGGTTAGAGTATTTACCTGAAGCTGGTTGGACGCAACTACGTCACGTCAACATCAAACTTCCACAGTTTACCCGTGTGTCTCTTACTTCGACATCCACTCCATTTATTTACAATTCGAATGTTCCTATGATGTCTTCAATTTTTCACATTCATTATTTGTAAACAAAAAATCAAGTTTACCTTTAACCACCTTTTTTTCTTGAGACGCCCTCACCTATGAAGTGCGTCCCACATATTACGAAACACCCTTTATACAATCGTTCTGTTTATTAGGGAATGAGATGTTTGTGTTATCATGTTGAATGATGTTTAAAAAGGTTACACATGAAATAGGTCAAGAAAATCAAGAAGTTCGACCCTGTAGGACCTAGATGTTCTGGAGTTGTACAAGGTGGGCCAAAAGAAGTCATCCGATGTTATTCGGCTCTAATTTTTTTTCTAAATGAAAAGCTTCGATTCTGTTTTTTTATTATGTTTATTTGAACCTTTAGAATTTTATTGGTCAAGTCGAGAAGATGATATCGGCCAAATGGGCGCCGCCACAATTGATTGCTATACGGGCTCGTTTTATGGCATTTTTCATCACTTCGGCGAGATCTTCGGGCGACAAATTCTGGCACTCGTGTCGAATGTTGTCCTTGAGGGCTTCCAGGGTCTCAGGCTTGTTCATGTAAACACAAGTCTTCAAAAAACCCCACAAAAAAAGTCTGAAACGGTTAAATCGGGCTATCTTGCGGGCCAGAGCAAATCGCCAAAACGAGAGATGAGGCGATCTGGGAACGCCGCCTTCAGAATATCGGTTGTGGCTCGCGCAGTGTGTGCCGTTGCTTCTTCCTGTTGGAACCACATGTCCTCCAGTCCTAATTCGTTCAATTGATGCAGAAAAAACTCGATAAACATGGCCCTATAGCACGCACCGTCCACTGTTGTCGTTTGACCAGCGGCGACCTCGAAAAAAATGGCCCGATGACTCCTCCAGAGTAAACAGCGCACCATGCAGTCACTTTGAGCGGGTGTAATGGCTTCTCGTGCATCAGTCGTGAATTTTCAGTGCCCCAGAAACGATAGTTCTGCTTGTTCACGTACCCGCTGAGGTGGAAATGAGCCTTGTCGCTCATTATGATTTTGGTCGAAAAATCGTCCACGAGATTGAGGATGGCTTGGCTTGGATTATTCCGCTTTCTTGGGGAGTGTATCGCTCCATGGCTTGTTCACTTGTATTCTACATCTGCCTAGTTCACAAATGTCGAAACAGATCTGACATTGGCCGCCATTTGCAAAAATAAGAGCATCTTTCAATAGGGTGATTTCTTTTGGCCCACCTAGTATAATGCTTACTTAACTTCATGATGATTTTTTTACTATTTCAGACTATGAGTTTCTTTCTGTTCGAGTTAGCAAATAATACAATTGTACAGGAAACTCTGAGGCAAGAGATAATGGAATCATACAGAGAAAATAATAACTCTTTTACTTATGAATCAATCTTGAAAATGTCATACTTGGAAGCATGTTTGAATGGTAAGTGATAACGGAGTTTCTTGATAAATTTGACGTTTTAGTCCTCTCAATAAATAGTTCAGCAAAGTTGAACATGAAAAGGGGATCGTGCTTGCAAAAGGTCCGGTCGTTCTGAATTTTTAATGTTATTAGGACCTGAATCATTATTGAAAAACCAGATTTGCAATTTTCAAAGTGCTGTGCTAGCGACGGTATTCCCGCCAAACCATTAAATTTTCGGAGTTTTTTCAGTTTTCGCTCAAAATCTTAGAGAAGGAAGGGTTTGACCGGTATAGTCACCATCTATACTTTTGAATTAAACTAAATTTGCTATAATTAGAGGCCAAGATGAGCCCCATATAGATCTATTGGTTCCCAAGATACTTTGAAAAAAGCCAATTTTTTCGAAAAAGTGAAACTTCTTCAAAATGGTGACATATTTTGTGAGTTATCTTCTATAATACGCTTCCCACGTGAAATATCATATGTAATGAAGTTGGAGAGAATTTAATAAGATTCGTTTTGATACCAGATTGGTATCTGTAAGCCCAGCGGTTCTCTCGAAAACGGCAGATATCCAAGAACAGTCATAAGTGGGTTTTAGGGAATAATGCGAATGAACTGTTCTCACGTTTTTCATTTGTTATTTATCAAACAGTTACAATTTATTTGTCTTCAATTGGTCGACAGCTAACAGCAATTATAAGGATTTCCGTAAATTTCGTAATTTTTAGAAAACACTTTTTTTGCCATTTCTGAGCCACAAATATTGTCTGTTACAGCTCTGTATACAGGGTGTAATTTAATTGATGACTGAAAATATAGGAGATGGTTCCTTAGCTCATTTTAGGAAGAAAAGTTGATATGAGCATATTCCCTAAACCTCTTAACTTTTGAATTATAGGGTGTTAACATTTTATTTTGTCTTTATCGATTAAGGAAACTTTCAAAATGTAAAGAACTGTCACGTTTATGAATACTTGTCAAAATAAGACCGCAACGTAGGTAATCGATCAAATGAGTAGAGTAGAGTTTTATTGACTACTTGATGTACATTCATACATTTGTAGCAAGTCCTAAATGATTCCATTTTGGTGAAAAGAATGTAAAAATTGATAATTTACAATAAAAGACAAAAAATATACAATCAGAGACGAATTAATAATACAGGGTGTTTTCTAACTACGGTTCCTAACTGCAGGGGGTGATTGGTTAGGTCATTTTAAGAAGAAAAGTTTCTATGAACATATGTTCGGAGTTGCTTCGTTTCTGAGATACAGGGCGTTGAAATTAAAGGAAAAAAAAACGGTAATTATAAAATATCATGGATATCCTGGAACCGATTTGGTTTAAATTTGGTACTTCTATTTGTCAAATTCTCTAAAATTCAGCATATCAAGTGTCAATTATGTTTTTAGCGGAAATAATGAAAAACTCATTTCTCCAATGCAGGTGTTCATGATATGCAATACAGTGGCTTTAATTTTTTTTCTCGGAAACGAAGCTGGATATGAAGAAAATACAAGAGACCAAAAAGTTGTATTTTGAGTTGCTCAATCTAGAAAAAATGATGATTTACCAAAAAAAGTCAGTGGCGTACTTTTTTTTCACGATATTGTTGGCTGTGGTGCCTACTGAGACGCCACTAGCCCCAATAATTTCAATCTAAATAGGGCTGAATAAGTGCCTCATTAGTTCAAATAAAAGTACAAAATTTCAACCGAATCGCTTCCAAGATCTTCATGATATTTTGTAATTACCATTTTTTTCCTCCAATTTCATCGCCCTGTATCTCAGAAACGAAGCAACTCCGGACATAATATGTTCATAGGAACTTTTCTTCCCGAAATGACGTAACAAATCAGCACCTGCAGTTAGGAACCGTAGTTAGGAAACACCCTGTATACAATCAAAAACAAAAACAAAATACACATTTACGTTTCCCTCAAGAGTGGATGTTCGGCAAGTGTGTTTCCTTGTATCAAAATTGTGGCCACTAACGTGAGCCAGATATTCTGCAATCGAGTGAAAGCCCTTCTTTCAAAATAATCTTTCATAACTATCTTGAAAAAAAACATATTCATAGTTTTAATACTGGCAGGAAGAGCATTATATAATCTGAGATCATGAGAATTTTTTTGTGATTTGCTGAGTTTGTAACGTTGAGGTCTAATAAGATCACTGTTGCGTGTATTGTGATATGATTATGTAAGCTAGATTGCTTAGGAAGCAGGGGAGCTTTTTTGTGAATCTCTACTATACTATACTCGTATAAATATACATTGAAGGTACTGACATTATTTTGTGATTTATGAATGAATCACGACACGAATCTCTGTAACCAATTCCAACAAGAATTCTCAGAGCCTTTTTTTGTAATATGAAAATACATTGGGCATCACTAGAATTTCCCCATAGTAGAATCCCATAAGAAATATGAGATTGAATTAGTGAGCAAAAAACTATTTTCAATGTAGTGAAATTAGTTATAGGTTTAAGTTGTCGAAGTAAAAATAGAGCACTCGATAATTTACTTTTCAAACCTAAAATGTGGCCGGACCAATTTAACCTATTATCCAAGGTGAAACCCAATAACTTAACAGTTTGGAACTCAGGTAATGGCTGAGCCGTAGATATCACCATGTTTTGTGATTTATCGTTATTCATCATAAGTTTATTAACACTGAGCCAATAGTTGGCTTTTCCTTGTATTTCGACAGATTGATCAGCAAGAGATGAAAGATTTTTTGAGGAGTAAATGTCATTATTTCAAATACAAAATAGGGCATTAGCCTACTAGTTCAAAATGATTTCGTTATGCCACAAATGCATGAAAATAGTTTTAGTTTTTTTACGCGAAAACGGGTTGTCGGACGGAGAAAAATCTGGAGGTCAAATTGTTGCAAAAAAATGAGGATTTCAAAAATGTTTTTTATTCTCGGAAAAATCAAATGCGTACAAAATTTTTTTCAAAAAATCAGCAGGATACATCTCTCACGTACGCCACTGGTAGATATATTGAAAAAATCTTGCATCGAAAATGCCTATTAAATATCTAGAACGGTATTGAAGTTATGATAAGAAAACGATTTTTTTCCTAAAATTTTAACACCGTATAGGTGGAAAGTTTAGGTTTAGGGCATATGTTTATATGACCTAAATGAGCTAAGAAACCATATCCTTAATTTTCAACCATCAATTAAATTACACCCTGTATACTAATGAACTCTTGAAATCAGGCTTTTTTATGCATGGATATGAATAAATAAATAGAATTCAATTTCAAGAACTATTCAAATCTTTGATAAAGAAATCTTGAAGTGCCTCCCCAACATGAACTTGCTTTACAGATTTTCAGAAATGATTTTGTGAGGAGATGTTCTTGTGACTGACCGAGAGAAGGTTATAGACTGTTGGCCCGCGACACAGGGTTTATCGATATTCTAAGTCGGTATGCCATTCAAGGGACCCACTCACTTAGTCCAAGAAGTTTATCTCTGGTCCAAGTTAACAGGTAGGAGTGCCTTGCACCGGCCCTGACCTCACCTTTCGGTTGGAAAAAAGTTCAAAATTTTGTTTAAGAAGAAGCTCGACAATGAAGTGCAATGATCTTATCCCACGAAAATTGGGGCGCTTGCCGGTTTGCATACGCCTAGGTCACTCCCCAAGGGCGGCATACGAACCGGAAGTGGCAATTTTTCAGTGTTATAGTCGATGATCTAAGAATGTATGCCCTTTGGCGAAACAATGAATTCGGACCCATTAATCAGTTTCCCGACATTTGCATACAATTCCGGAGAGGGGAGCTCGACTTATTCGAACATCAGTTGACTAGACATCTTTCAAATAATCGATGATTTAAGTTCGTATGCACATCTCTGGACCGATAAACTAGGATATTCTGTATGACTGGATGCTATTTGCATACGAATTCGATGTGAGCATACGTTGTAACATAGATTAAAGACTGTTGTAATAATCGGGCAAACCCGCGCGTGTCTCGGTCCGGCGCGGCACCCCGCACTGCAGGCCAGAGGTGCACCGAAAGCGAACTAGATAATCTGGAAGTCTCATAATCTCACTTCACATGAAACCGGGTCAAATATCAACTTCCGATAAAAGGGAAAAACATTATCGAATGCCTAAATCATTACGTGCTACACTCTACCCGGCTGACGTAGCAAATCATTGTTCAAATATGAAAATTGTTTCAGCAAAAAAAAAAGAAAATACTCCAAACCCGGGATTCATATTTCTGGCACAATTTGACAATTTGGCACATGATCGCTATAAGAGTGCTGCGTGTAAATGATATCGCTAGATGCTGTAGAGCTGCATTCGTCATGATAATCTCAACTCGATAGTGAAATAAAATATAGTGTTGCAATAAAAAAAAATCAACAACTACCCCATAGTTCATTCTTTATGAACAGCCTGTGAATTTTTTAATAACAATGAGAAATCTCTTGGGAAAATCGTTATTGGTTTTTGAAATTTTAAAATCGGTCAGAAACAACTAAGTTACAATGGGAGATATTTATGATGAACCACCCTGTACGGAATGTGCAAATTGTATGCAAACCATCATCTCATACATACTGTGTGGTCCACTAACCATGGTCAGAATTTGAACATTTCTTCGATTATCGATTATGTGAAGGATATTCAGTCAAATAATGTTCGAATAAGTCAAGCTCCCCTCTCCGGGATTGTATGCAAATGTCGGGAAACTGATTAATGGGTCCGAATTCATTGTTTCGCCTAAGGGCATACATTCTTAGATTATCGACTATAACACTGAAAAATTGACAATTTGGGTTCGTATGCCGCCCTTGGGGAGTGACCTAGGCGTATGCAAACCGGCAAGCGCCCCAATTTTTGTGAGATAAGATCATTGCACTTCATTGCCGAGCTTCTTCTTTAACAAAATTTTGAACTTTTTTCCAACCGAAAGGTGAGGTCAGGGCCGGGGCAAGGACTGGGTTGCGACTCTCCGAGGCACTTCTTCCTGTTAACTTGGACTAAGTGAGTGGGTCCCTCAAATGGCATACCGACTTAGAACATCGATAAACCCTGTGTCGCGGGCCAACAGTCTATTATACAATTTGGCAGCAAAATAGACCACTAAATTTTTAATCAAGTTTGTTGATGGGATAGGCAGTCTCAAGTCATTATTCTGACAAGTGTGACTGAAAACTATCTCATATGAAGATTTATTTTTATGGACTAGACACACAGTTACAAGGATAAATATTAATGCAAGAGTTTGGATTTTTCGCTCTTTGAATAAAGGTTCACACGAAACATAGGTCAACCTTTACCCAAGTTTCGTACTGTTCGCTTCTTCTTCTTCTTCTTCGAAGCACTGGTGGGCAGGTGAACACCCCTGCACGTAAGCCTCCTTATTCGGGCCCATTGTGCGCCCACATGTTCCGACATTGAGCTGAGTATGCCCATTTCCTTGGAGAAGTTGAGCAGCTTCCTCAGCTGAATCTCTTTCACGTCCTCTGGCCTCAAAATTATGCCAAGGACAGTCCTCCAATGATGTATCAGTGCAGGGCACTCAGTGAGGACATGCGATGACGTTTCGTCATCTTCCAGACACCATGAGGTGGTTGTGCCCCGTTTGGAGCCCCACTAGCATTTTAAGGTCTCGCCTGTTGAGGAATAAGGCCTCTTTTATGAGCCTCTCCGAAGGTTCCTTCATGTGGAGCTTGTCTCATTCTGTTAAACAGTGGTGAAATTGTTGAATTTGTTTTCTTAATAGGTAATAGTATGTATTTTTTCTGTGAAGGGAAAAAAGTTTGGCATTTCATCTCTGTTGGCAGGTTATAAAATGTCACTTTTCATAAATTACTTTTTTCCCGTGGGAAAAAAGTGAGTACTACTTTCCCGAATATACCGTGTGTCCCAGTTTACCTGTTCCAAATGGATTATCTCAGCTATTTCGAAAGATAAAAATTTGAAAATTTCATGATCCCCAATTCGTCCAAGGAAACTTTAATTGAGAAAAACAAAAATTCAGAGTCAGAGTCACTTCCGGTTTGACCGGAAGTGACTCTGACTTTTTTATTTCAAATAGCACCCTGTATATTTTTTGCAATTTTTGCTTTTTACTCAAAATTACCTTTCCAACGATGTATCACACTTTGTATTTCACATTTGATTTGATGGAGAAAACGTCAATTGAAATTTCAAATTGAAAGAATTGCAGTAGGCTACGATATTTTGTGTAATCTTGATTTTGACTTCGATAATAATTAATAATTCATGAACAATTTTGCATTCGAGATGATGAAGATAACGTCAAATTTCGAATTATTAGAATTGTAGTTGAACTGAAAGAATTGATAATTCTTAAATGAAAACCTTAGTGTGCCATGAAAACAGTTGAATACATTTGTTTGTAACTTTGACAGTTAATAATTCTCAATAGTTGTGTGCGTGTCAGAGAAACTAACATTCAAGTATGAATAACCGTGAAAATGATGATAACTTCACTAATCAAGACAAATTGGGCTGCCCTAAGTGCATACAGAGAGAAATACACTGATAGACGAATGCCAAGCGCTATGTATTTCACACGCTTGGCTTCGAATTTGGCAACAAGTGGATCATTTTATAGAAAGCGTACTGTCTTTAAAAGAAAAAATGCTACGGACGAAGAGCATACCGTTGCAGTTTTAGGAAGAGTGGTTTGTTGATCCCCATATCTCTATTAGAAACATAGAACAGGAGAGCGGTATTTCTCGTTCATCAATTCAGCGCATTCTCAAAATTGCCAAATTCAAACCATTTAAAATTCATCTGCATTAAGGATTACTACCCACAGATTACGAGAGGAGATTTGCGTTTCTTGCTTGGTTAGCTACGGCACGTGAAGATGGTATTATCAGCTCGATATTGTGGTCAGATGAGAGTCGTTTCCATAATAATGCAACTGTAAATCGACATAATTGTCATTATTGGTCGCAAAATAATCCACACTGGCTAAGACAAACTAATTTTCAAGTTATCTGAGGAGTCAATGTATGGTGCGGCTTACTCATTTTCTTGAAAATATTCCTTTACATATGCGTAGAAACATTCATTTTCAACAGGATAGTGCACCCCCCCACAATGCTATAGTGGTAAGGAATAATTTAAATGAAATATTTGGAGATAGATGGATCGGCACACACGGACCGATAAGATGACCTGCAAGATCTCCAGATTTAACACCGCTGGATTTCTTCCTTTGGGGGTATTTGAAAGATCGTGTGTACCAGACTCCTCCTATTGATTCAGAAGATCTAAAAAACAAAATAAGGAATGAATGTAGAGCCCTTAATGCTGAGGTGTTGAGAAGTGTTACTTCGCGTGAACTACTCCACCGAGCTGAAAGATGTGTAGAAGCAGTTGGTCGACATTTCGAACATATGCTTTAGTTATTATATTCTTGAGCCCCCTTTCTTTGTAATTTTCAAGATTACACAAAATATTGTAGCCTACTGCAATTCTTTCAATTTGAAATTTCAATTGACGTTTTCACCACCAAATCAAATGTAAAATACAAAGTGTGATACATCGTTGGAAAGGTAATTTTGAGTAGAAAGCAAAAATTGCAAAAAATATACAGGGTGCTATTTGAAATAAAAAAGTCAGTCACTTCCGGTCAAACCGGAAGTGACTTTCAGTTTTTATTTTTTTCAGTTGAAGGTTCCTTGGACGAATTGATAAGATCATGAAATTTTCAAATTTTTATCTTTCGAAATAGCTGAGATAATCCGTTGGAACAGGTATACTGGGACACCCGGTATATCACATATATATACACTGTTGATGATATTTGCTGTGCTATAGTTCCGAAAAATGAGTCAATAATACCGTCTCCGAGAAAGAACTGCAATTCCTTTTATCTTCCATTCGACTTCGCGGTTAAGTATATTACAAAACATCCACTAAATTTGCAAGTTTTTTAAATGAAATCACAGAATTAGACTGACAGAAGTGACATCAGATATTTGATTACTTCAAGAATTATAAAGATGCCTACAACAAGGATGGAGAAGAACAACATAGGTGTCCCTACTGTTAAAAACTTGAAATTTCACGTCGATAATTTTCAGATTTCAAAATGATGTGATATCTTCTCAATATTGATTCGTCCTTTCTTCTGTCACGGAAAAAAATTGTGTATTATACACGGGAAAAATATTAGATTTTAGCTCAAGGTTTTTTGTCTCCCTCCGCTACGCGTCGGGGGACAACACAACCTGGAGCTAAAATCTACTACTTTTTTCCCTTGTATAATAAATAACTATTGCTATCAACCCTTTCGAGTAAAACCGGTACACCGTATTTTAATGTAGATATTCTGCCTATTTCCCTAAAATGAAGGTTTATCAAACCTCTCCACAGGTAATTATTATCCTTCAGGTTAGTTTATTTCATGCATGATGAAGCTACTGTGTTAGCGAAACATGTCTTGTGATTAAGAATTTTGTGTAAATCTTGTCGTTTGTGCAGTTTTTACAATTGAAAATTATCTGGTTTGACGGGATCTTATCTAGCAACCTTTCGATGTTCTAATCACTAGTCGAGCGCTTTTACGCCGTCAAAAGCTTTTTATTTCCCCAGAAAGTATGCGAAAAAACTCCATAAATGGTCAGCTCAGGAGAGTTTGTACAGAGAAATACACTTATACGCCAACCAATCCAGAATTCGCGAAAATATCAATCACTGTGGAACCTGGAACATCCATCATAGTACCTGTCGGAGCGATGCAGAGTGATCCAAATTATTTCGAATCACCGGATGAGTTCAAACCCGAGAGATTCTTTGATATGGACAAAATTCCTAAATATTCCTTCATGCCATTTGGCGAAGGGCCACGATTATGTATCGGTGAGTAACTTAGTACCGTAGAATGGGAATACTATTTGGGACATTTTTCAGATACAAATACATGTGGCGAAGGTGTTCATGGCACAGAACTCAACAAAGACCTAGAAGGCTAATGCAAGTGTGAGAAATCGCTGAAATCTGATACAACCAGTGTGCTCACGGCAATGGTGATCATGCGCACATTGTCGGCAACGTTGTCAGCTATACAGTCTGTCCAAGATAAGGTTGAACAGCATGGGGTTCTCGGAAACGGAAGGAGATACGAAGTCGTTTAAATGGAGAAAAAGTTGCGCATTCGGAGGCTCATATTAAGAGCCTTCAAACATTTTTAAAATTATTTCTAGTTCTTGAGTTATATCGAAAAAAGTGAATTTTTGGAATATCTATTTTATTTTTTTCTCCTTTATTATTAGAGATACAGAAAAACTGGAAATATTTTTGTACAGCAACTTTTGATGACGTTTAACGTGGTGAAACCGATTTTGGTATGCGACATTTCGTATCCGTAGAACCATCATCAACTTTTGTTTTTTAAATACGGTCCTGATAATTTTTTCACAGATTCTGAAAGGTTTTTTGATTCTGAATTCAACCATGTATGATACAAGGTCATTCGAATGTGTTTCGACCTATTTCTATCCATCATCAATGTTTTTTCGAACTTCCAAAGGAAAAGTGCCATCAGTTCCACTTATTACTGATCATTTAGTGTCAAACATTGACGGATTAGTTATTCAATACTGAGAAACGAATACAAAATATTTCACTACATCATTCAATGCAGCGCTTAAAATTGTTGATGAATTCTTACACGAATTACATTAACAACTTAACTTTGACAATGCCTACAGAAACATTCATAACAAATGTTCAAAATGATAACCATTATTTTCTGAACAAAGATATCCTCTTCTCACAGTTGCTTCTAAGACATTACTAAGCATTTCTGGGGTTATTCTATTGAATGCTTCGATGACACTGTCCCTTAGTTCTTCTTCATCATCAAAGTTATTTGCGTATACAAAGTTTTTGATAAATCCCCTAAGAAAAAATCCAGCTGTGTCAAATCAGGCGACCGCGCCGGCCAAGGGACTGTAGAATGAGTACCAATCCATTTTTCTGGATAAAAACGCACGGACTTCTCTGGAATTATGTACCGGAGCGCCATCTTGTTGAAACCAACAGTTCTGAACTTCCGCAATCGGTAAATCATCCAGAGCTTCCTCAAGATGATTCTCAAGCAAATTTCTATAACGTTCGGAAGTCTGTGTTTCATGGTGAATAAAAGGACCAATAATTCGTGTACCAAATATTGCAACCCACATATTAAAGCCGAAACGGTGTTGGTGTCTCGCTGTAATGTATAAATGTTCATTTTCTCGTGAACAGTAATGTGTATTTTTTCTATCGAAGATCCCATTATTAGTGACCATGCTTTCATCAGTCCAGATGATTGTTCGAGGGAAATCTGCAAAATTTTGACATTTCCTGGTATACCACTCACAGAATGTCCTGCGCCTTTCGTCATCGCCTGGTTTTAGCGCTTAACATATTCTGAATTTGTATGGATGGAATTTTTGTTTCCGCAAAATGAAATGGGTTGTTGATTGAAACCAGTTGATGAAGCATTAGTGTGTTGACTAATTTTCCTCCAAAATAAGTGGAACTGATGGCATTTTTCCTTTGGAATTTCGAAAAAACATTGATGATGGCTAAAAATACGTCGAAACACAAATAAACCAACTTGTATAAAAGATGGTTGAATTCAGAATAAAAAAACCTTTCAGAATCTGTGGAAAAATTATCAGGACCGTATTCAAAAACCCAAAGTTGATGATGGTTCTACGAATACAAAACGTCGCATAAAAAAATCGGTATCACCACGTTAAACGTCATCAAAAGTTGCTATGAAAAAGTATTTCCAGTTTTTCTGTATCTCTAATATTAACAGAGAAAAAAAATTAAATAGATATTCCAAAAATTCACTTTTTTCGATATAACTCAAAAACTAAAAATAATTTTAGAGATCTCAATGCAACCTTATCTTGGACAGACTGTATATTCTCATACGCAAATCTCATAATTATACATTAGGATGTAGTTCATATTTCCTACGAAACTTCTTGTATCTGATTATCAAAAGCTTTACAAAAATCATACCATGAAATTTTCACGACAAAATTCATAGACTCACTGATATTAATTGAATAGCTAACAAGAGATCGAATAATTATTATGAACTTCAAATTTCTTACGAGTTCATCTGACAACTGTGTGAGAATGTGCCTCTGTCATTTCGTCTGACGTAGACTCAAGACAGAGCCGGATTAGTCCCAGTTTTTCAGTGTTCTGCTTTGCGTTCAATGTCTTTCGTTAGTGAATTTGAGATTATTGAAGAGTTTTGGTATTTCACTTTAGTATGGGTCATAGTGACAAGGACAGTACTTATTTCATTCGACATTCATTGACAGTGTTTTCAAAATGAATGATTTGGTGACAAGATAAAGAACAAATTCCAGGAATGTCTTACTTCAGGTAAATTTATATCGTTAACAATTTTTTTTCCTATAGCTCAAACACACAATGGTTCTTGTTCTACTTTGTTCGATAAATCAATTAGGTGATTATCAATTGTAATTTTCCACTCGTATGATTTATAGCATATGCCTGTTGTCATGATTGAATTACCAAAACTTAAATATCTGGCAAGAAGTTACAGATCTCTGGAAGTAATTGATATTGAATCAAATTTTAGGCTAACCAAGAGTTGCAACAAGAGTTGGATGATTGCCTTTGTTCGATATTCAAGATGCCACTATTGAGAAATTGAGTCATGTTTTCTTCAGAACAACTATAATTAAACTATCCAATTTTAGCGAGGTCTCGTTTTTTTTTTGAATTCAATTTACTCCAAACGAAGCTCCAATTCGAAATTCCACAATAGGGTCTTTCTTTCTGAATTGAACAGGGAATTTGAGAAAATATCTCAATTCTGAAGAATGTTCAGTGGTTTAATGAATAGTTCGGCAAAAGGGAAACAACTCCCCTGTATCTACTCTACTGGCCAATTTTGAAAAAACTTGCATCAAACAACGATCAGAGTAACCATTTCATAAGTATTTGCATCAAATTTTGTTTTATGTCCTGAGAATTATAGCAAGAAGAAGATTTTTGAAACTAGACTTCAGAGGGATGTATCTCCCTGGAAGAGCTTTAACAAAAAAATTATAATATTCATGCCGCTGTATATTTAGAAGAACCATGGTGAATTATTGCTAATATAGCCTGAACCACCCTGTATATTAGCTCGCTCATTTCTATCTAACGAACACTTCAGTTTATGGAAAATATATCGAACCATTACTCCTAATAACATAAAGGAATTCATGATAACGAATTTCATATAAATTTTTCACAATGTTCTGCTCTTTCAAGAAAGCCACAAAAACTTGGTAATCAAATAATTCTGAATCCGCCCCTGGCATGGTCGCGTCTTTACTGCGCATGCTCACATTTGCCGTGCGAGCCACGTTAGGGAACATTCGATAATATCGGCCTTCTAGGTCTTTGAGTTCTATGGTTCATGGTAGGGAATCTTCCCTATGCTAAAAGACGAATGACTCAGTAAAATGCGTGACTATCCTAGCGATGATATAAAGGACGCAACAGTAATTTCGTCGCACCCCAAAATTTTGTCCCTGTTAAAATATGAATAACTTTTTTCTGCTTAGAACAATTTGAATTCGGATTAGACTGTTCGCTAGCCCAGTCCTTCAGCTATGATCTCATACTTCTTCCAAACATGAGGTTCTTCATATAAAATCGCTACAGGGTGTCACCTGAAACTGTGAAAAATTTCGGAATTTTCAAAAGGATCCCAAATGAACAAAAACATTTTTTTTTCAACTTCGACGGCAGAGGCATAAAGATGATCCCATTACCTATAGGGACATTCTTCAAATTGTCTTCTTATCTTTTTTATTGGTTTTGCAGTCATAACTTTTTTTACATTCCAGCGTCCATTGTATCTTGAATGATATTTTCAGCAATACATGGTGATATTCGTGAAGCATTCATGATCCGTGTATTGTATTTGTACTATATGTTTAAATTGTAGAAGTTTTTGGGTGATGTTTTTTTCAAAAAGTCTGTGAGTAGGTATCACCCTAATGGTCATACTTTTGGGACATACAACAGAGTTATGATCATATATTTTCCTCCTATATCGATCCCTGAAATATATTCCATGCGCTTTAATATACTTATTTCAATGTTCGTCGTGGCATATAGCCAGGAAAATAGTTGTTTTCTGTTGATTATTACGTGAAAGAACTAATATATTCTCATCAGATATAGAAAATGCGAATTTTCAAAATATTTCTTCATATGTGTTAATAATTTTTTCATGGTCTCAAGATATCTGAGGATATTCCTTTTCAATTCACCCTGTATAATTTTTTTCTCCCATTCTATTTGGCGCCGAGCTCATGGATTTCGGTTTCGTTATATATGAGGGTAATTTGGTTACCGGCGCCGATATTCTCAAACAAGTGATTCGAAACGCTAATGTTGTTCCATTCATGTGTGTCATTTGTTCTAGGTAAAAGTTTCGGAAAAATGCAAATCAAAGTTGGCATTGTGCACTTGTTGAAGAATTATAGAGTGACGGTGAATCAGAAAATGCAATTTCCTCTGAAATATAACCCTTGGTACGGACTTTTAGATGTTATTGGAGGCATGCAGATCGACCTACATAAAATTGAATAAAAATGTCAGCATTATAATCAAAATGAATTATCTATACCGGGTTACACAGGGTATCGGACCACCCCTGTGATTTCTGCATTCGTAAGCAGATTTTTCTGGAATTTGGTACTGTTATTTAAGCAACAATTTCGGATTTGATGACATTACAATTCAAAATGGCGATTTTCCGGTTTCTCTGGAAATGCCAGCAACTCTGTTTTTTCAAATGAAATATCCTGTATACATACAAATACGTAATGGTTCCTTATATAACTGTTCCAAATTCAGTTAATATAAGAGACGTGGCCCGCTACCCTGCTGTGTTACCCAGTATATCAAATACCTTCAAGTTTTCTATATGTAGTGTTCAGTTCTAATAAAAAATAATGGTGATGGAAAATGGAATTGAAATTGTGTTTCTATGTTGATCGTAATACCTAAATGACCACATTTCAGTGAAGGGCAAAATTATGGTTGATAAAATTTCATTCAAGCAAAAAGCAGTCATATTGATTTGTCAAAAACTGCTTTTCTGTTTCCTGACAGTATAGTATGATGTACTTTTGATTATAGTATATTACGTAACAAGTAAAAATTATGCACGCAGGCGCGTAGCGCATTACGTACTATATTTTACCTACGGTCATATATAGTCGTGGCCATATAAATCAATCAGACATTGTAAAAAATAAATGAAACATGATTTTCATTGTGTTTATACAGTGTCTCACTTCTAATGGAAACACCCCTGTATCTTATGGATTCGTTGCTTAAGGATCCTGAAATTTGCTGGAACGAGATATACAAAAAAAGTACTCTATGACCAAGTGGGGTTATCTTCAGTGATATACACAGCTCGCCAACAGCCATGGAACCACCTCAATTTTCGGAATATGATATTTAGGGCAAAATAGGTTAGAATTCATTTCGTGTTCGGAATCAGGACGCCCAATAATTCACTATAACTACCTATTTATATTTTACTGGGAAATTTTAAGTTCTGAAAATGTCATTTTTGTCTCACTCTTTATAGAAACACCCCCGTATCTTACGTAATCGTTGTGTTGGGATCCTGAAATTTTCTGGAGCGAGGGATATACCAGAAATGTGCTCTGACTAAATGGGGTCATCTTCATCCACTAAGCAAATTTGGAAGCTATGTTATGCTAGGTTGTAGCAATTACTGAAACGGATGTTCAGCAATATGTCAATGTAAATTTGTAAATGTAACGTTCCAGCAATGTCACAGCAACATATAATATTGCTGCAACGCTACATTATCAAATTCACCTTTGCAATATTGTGGAACGCCCGTTTCAGTTATTGCTTCAACATTGCATCAACATATCTTTCAACTTTGCTTAGTGGGCAGTGATATACACTGCTCGCGAACAGCCACGGAACCACTCCAATTCCCAGAAAATTATATTAGGAGTCGAAATAGGTTGAAAATCACTTCGGATTCGGAATCAGGACGACCAATACACCAACTATATTCATATTTTTCCTGAAAATTTTCAAGTTCTGAAAATTGCATTTTTGTCTCGATCACTTCTAATGGAAAAACCCCTGTATCTTACGTATTCGTTGGCTTAGGATCCCGAAATTTGCTGGAGCGAGAGATATACCAAAAATATGCTCTATGACTAAATGGGGTCATCTTCATCCACTAAGGAAATTTGGAAGCTATGTTGATGCCAGGTTGTAGTAATTACTGAAACGGATGTTCAGCAATATATCAATGTAGATTTGTAAATGTAACGTTCCAGCAATGTCACAGCAACATCTAATATTGCTGCAACGCTACATTATCAAATTCACCTTTGCAATATTGTGGAACGCCCGTTTCAGTTATTGCTTCAACATTGCATCAACATAGCTATCAACTTTGCTTAGTGGGCAGTGATATACACTGCTCGCGAACAGCCACGGAACCACCCCAATTCCCGGAAAATTATATTAGGAGTCGAAATATCAGGACGCCCAATACACTCACTATTCATATTTTTCCTGAAAATTTTCAAGTTCTGAAAATTTCATTTTTGTCTCGATCACTTCTAATGGAAAAACTTCTGTATCTTACGTATTCGTTGGGTAAGGATCCCGAAATTTGCTGGAGCGAGAGATATACCAAAAATATGCTCTGTCAGCTTCATCCACTAAGCAAATTTGGAAGCTATGTTGATGCCAGGTTGTAGCAATTATACTGAAACGGATGTTCAGCAATATGTCAATGTAAATTTGTAAATGTATCCAGCAATGTCACAGCAACATCTAATATTGCTGCAACGCTACATTATCAAATTCACCTTTGCAATATTGTGGAACGCCCGTTTCAGTTATTGCTTCAACATTGCATCAACATATCTTTCAACTTTGCTTAGTGGGCAGTGATATACACTGCTCGCGAACAGCCATATGGAACCACCAAATTCCCGGGAAATTTTATTAGGAGTCGAAATAGGTTGAAAATCACTTCGGATTCGGAATCAGGATGCCCAATACACTAAAAATTCATATTTTTCCTGAAAATTTTCAAGTTCTGAAAATTTCATTTTTGTCTCGATCACTTCCAAGGGAAACACCCCTGTATCTTACGTATTCGTTGGGTAAGGATCCAGAAATTTGCTGGAGCGAGAGATATACCAAAAATATGCTCTATGACTAAATGGGGTCATCTTCATCCACTAAGCAAATTTGGAAGCTATGTTGATGCCAGGTTGTAGCAATTACTGAAACGGATGTTCAGCAATATGTCAATGTAAATTTGTAAATGTAACGTTCCAGCAATGTCACAGCAACATCTAATATTGCTGCAACGCTACATTATCAAATTCACCTTTGCAATATTGTGGAACGCCCGTTTCAGTTATTGCTTCAACATTGCATCAACATAGCTTTCAACTTTGCTTAGTGGGCAGTGATATACACTGCGCTCGCGAACAGCCATGGAACCACCCCAATTCCCGGGAAATTATATTAGGAGTCGGAATAGGTTGAAAATCACTTCGGATTCGGAATCAGGACGCCCAGTACACTAACTATTCATATATTTCCTGAAAATTTTCAAGTTCTGAAAATGTCATTTTTGTCTCGATCACTTCACAGCCATGGAAACACCCAATTTCCGGAAAATTATATTAGGAGTCGAAATAGGTTGAAAATCACTCCGGATTCGGAATCAGGACGTCCAATTCACTGTTTATATTTTTCCTGAAAATTTGTCAGTTCTCTTGTCTCACTTTCCATGGAAACACCCCAGTTTCTTACGTAATCGTTGGGGGGTTGGGATCCTGAAATTTTCTGGAGCGAGGAAACAAAAATTGACAGTCGCTGATGTTAGAGTTGAAATAAGAAAACAAAATTAATGATCAGATCCTACTAATATTATCCAAATATGTCATTCTTGTCTCTCAAAATCGGACAATGAATAGCGACGCTAAGGGTTGGGGTGTTTATTTTTTCATTCAGCCTGTATTATCAATTATTTTCTATACCTCCGTGAATCCCTGCAGTAATTCAAAACAGACAGGAACTTTCTATTGCAACGAGTGTTGAGTATAATGGAGTGAGACTGAAAAATATTATTAAACAAGATATTAAAGATTGATTTTAATTAAACCTTCAAAATATAAATCTACGATAATCCTAAGAACTAATGACTAATGATACACTGTTTTGAGTGAAGCTTTTTTAGTGGCACGGTCAGTGGACTCGCAACCAAGACACCCACATTTCGACGGAATCGCTATTTGCTTTTTCCACTGCTTTCCATCCTCGCAAGTCAGTTCGACCATGGCGTGCTTGTAGTCCGTAGGTTGGCAACAATAGCATGCCGAATCGTGCATAGAAGACCCTGAAAATGTTATTCATTCGAAATATTCGAAATATACTATTTATTTATTTCTGAAAATACCATATTTGATAGGTCTCGAGAGTCTTTATAACGGAGATACAGGGCGATTTATCGATTTCGAATAATTATTCATTCGTCTATATGTATTGACCTACCCAGTGTATTTTCCTCAAAGGTAAGGAACTTATACTTGGGACGTTGAATTCATTCACCTATCGGGCGGAGTGGAAATCCAGGTTCGGCTTCAGGAAAAATTTACATTTATTCGAAATATTAAAATAACACACTGTATTTAATAACTAACACAGTAGATCAAAAGAATTGTGAAGAGGAGGAAAAACTGAATTGGGTTTGATGCTTTTCGTTTTCCCGCCACCAATTCTCATCGTAACAATCATAAACTTGCACGCTGGGATTTTCTGGATTATTATTATTATTATTATTATTATTATTATTATTATTATTATTATTATTATTATTATTATTATTATTATTATTATTATTATTATTATTATTATTATTATTATTATTATTATTATTATTATTATTATTATTATTATTATTATTATTATTATTATTATTATTATTATTATTATTATTATTATTATTATTATTATTATTATTATTATTATTATTATTATTATTATTATTATTATTATTATTATTATTATTATTATTATTATTTTTTTTTTTTTTTTTTTTTTCCGGACGTAGTTGGCGCTTGTGGGCTAACCAACAAGTGGTCCTTCAGAAGTAGAGCTTCGACTACTGTGGCCATTAGCTCTCTGGGTCAGGTGTTCCGTTCTCAGATCTCAGAATATAGGTTCGTTGCTAGTAGGTACTTTTTTATGGATTTCATCATCTCTTTGTCACCTTGCATCAGTTGTTCGAGGGTGTAGTTATCGATACCATATCTGGTTCTATATTGTTTCAGTCCTTCGCATTCAGTAAGGAAATGGGCCACTGTTAATACTGCTTCGTTACATTGTGGGCAGCTTTTAGGTCTTGTATTCAACAGAAGATGAGAATGTGTAAGTCTCGTGTGTCCAATTGCTAGTCGACTCATTATGACTATATCTTTTTTTCTGAAGTCTTCTGGATAGGTCGTTGGTTCCAGATTAGGTTTGATGTTTCTCAGCTGGGTTGTTTGGTTGAGCCACGATTTCAACCACTCATTCCGGCATAACCTCTTTATTTCTTTCACTTCGTCTTGTACTTCAATTTGTGGTAGGTCAACTGTATCTTTACCGGCTGCAGCACGAGCAAGTTTATCAGCTATTTCATTTCCATGGATATTTGTATGGCTTGGGATCCAAATATATGTTATGTGTTTTCCTGTTCTTTCAATTCTATTTGTTAGGTCAATTATATTTCTCGCTACTGGGCTGGTTGTAAATATATTTTGTATTGAAGCAAGTGCACTTCTGGAATCCACACAAATCAGGAATTTTTCTCTGTCATCAGCATTCGTTGAGATTTCTTCAAGAGCTTTTTCAATTGCTGTTAGTTCGGCAAGGTATATTGAGGCTGTCTTCTTCATACTCCAAGATTTCTCACCAAGCTGCATAGAAAATGCGCACCCCACACCACTTTCGATTTTCGATCCATCTGTGTACACAGTTTTGTATCCTGGGTAGGTTTGTAGGATTTCAAAAAATGATTTGCGATATTCCTCTGCAGTGGTACTTTCTTTTTTCATATGGCTCAGTCTAAGGTCTATCTTTGGTTCGTTTAGGCACCAGTTCGGTATTTCAGGTTTCTTTTGGAGGTGTAACTGTGATGGTTGAGCATCTATCATTTCAATCATATCTGCAACTCTGACTTGTAGTGGCCGTGTTCTTGTTTGGTTCCAGCTGTACTGTTGTTTTCGTTCCTCCGTGGTCAAAATCTCGTAGTTCAGATGCGAAGGGTTTGATCTGACTTTCGTCCAGTATGTAAGGCATCTCTGTGCTCTTCTATAATGCAGTGGCATATTGCCAGACTCTCTGTATATTGCTGGAGTGGGGCTAGTTCTAAACGCTCCGCATATTAGTCTAGTTGCTCTATTGTATACAATATCAAGTTGTCTAAGTCTCGAAGCTCTGGCAGAGCTATACACTGTACATCCATAATCAATCTTACTGCCTATAAGAGATTCCACTGTGGTCTTCAATATTCCTTTGTCTGCACCCCATGTTAGGTTTGCTATGATTTTGATTATATTCACTGACGTCTGGATTCCACGCTTGAGTAAATCAATATGGTATTGCCATGTTAGCTTACTATCGACAATCATTCCGAGGAATTTGGTAGATTCTCTATATTCAATAACTTGGTTTCCCAAAGTAAGGTTTGGCTGTTGATGTGGTTTTCTCAATCGACAAAAGTGAATGCAACATGTTTTTTGGGGGGAAAAGCTTAAGCCTCTTCTTTCAGCACACTGTACGATTCTGTTGATATCTTGCTGCAGTATCTCTCCGACATCTATAATGTTCTCTCCTGTCCTTATGAGAGCCAAATCGTCCACGAATAGTGAAGCTTGTGAATTTGCTGCAATGTCATCTGCTAGTCCATTAATAGAAATATTGAAGAGGGTTGTACTTAGTACCGATCCTTGGGGTATGCCATTGATCTGGTCTTGTATTTCGGATAACTCATTTCCTACTCTAACCTGAAATGTTCTGTCTGTTAGGAAACCTTGTATGAAGTTGTACATATTGCCTTTCAAGTCCCATTGCCGCAGCTTTTCTAATATTCCATGCTTCCACGTTCGATCAAATGCCTTCTCGATATCAAAGAATACTCCTATAGCATGTTTCCTATCTGTGAAACAGTGTTGGATAGTGTCCTCCAATTTTACCAATTGGTCTACAGCCGAGTGGTTTCGTCGGAACCCTGCTTGGTATTTGCAAATATGATTGTTGTCTGCGAGCCACCAGGTCAATCTCACGTTTATCATTTTTTCTATCAATTTGCTGATGCAACAAGTTAACGAGATCGGACGGTAGCTGCATACATCGCTTGGATCCTTTCCTTGTTTTGGTATCGGAATGATAATAGCTGTTTTCCATTTCTTAGGGTATTGGCCTTCCTCCCAAATGTTGTTTATGAATTTCAGTAGGTATTCCTTGTCTGGCATGTTTTGTAGGCAAGCATAGGGTATATCATCATGTCCTGGCGATGTGTTTTTTAAATCTGTAAGTACGTTTGTCAACTCTCTCATGTTAAATCTCATGTTGTATTTTTCGTTTGTATCAGGAGGGAGTGTTGTTTCTTTGGTCTCTTGGATAGCTTTGTAAGTTCGGAAGTTTTGTGTGTATCCATCGTCACTTGTCACATATGAGTAATGAGTGGCTAATATATTTGCTGTCTTCTTAGGCTGGATTTCCATATTTCCGTCATGCTCTATAATTGGGTTTTGTGGTACTTGTTGTTTTCCCATAATTGATCTTATTTTATTCCAGATCTCTTTAGCAGGGGTGGATATTTCAAGCGTCGACATATATTCTCTCCAGGATTCTCTTTTGGCCTTGTTTTTTTCTACTCTTTCTTTTGCACGCCATTTTTTGAATTCAATCATATTTTCAATAGTTGGGTATTTCCTAAATCTATTTAGGGCTTTTTTCTTTTTCTTGTTTATCTCTGTGCATATTTCTGTCCACCACGGTACGGGTTGGCAATTGGGTTTCATAATTTTCTTTGGTATAGATCTCTGTGCCGCGGATTGAATTGATTTCGTAAAGTTTTCTGTATCTGTGTCAATGTGTCCTGTTAATGGTTTCAATTTCAGATGCTCTGAAAAAGCCAACCAATTTGCTTTATTTAGATTCCAGTTCGGCGGAGATTGATACGGTGTTTGATTTTGTTGTAGTGTTATGGTAATAGGAAAATGGTCGCTTTGGTGTAAGTCCGGGATTATATTCCAGTATAGTTTTGGGGCAATCGCTGACGTGCTTATAGTCAAATCTACAGTTGTTAGTTTTCCACTCCTTGCAGCTAAGTGTGTTTTTTCTCCCGTATTCAGTACTACTAATTGAAAGTCGTCCAAGATCTCCTCTAGTATTTCGCCTTTTCTGTCACTGTAGTCTTCTCCCCATAAGGGGTTGTGGCAATTAAAGTCACCTATTATGATGGCAGGTCCAGTTATTTGCGTAAATATGTTTCTTAATTGTTCTGGTGTCCATTGTTGATCCGGCAGATAGAGGTTGCATATCGTTACTGAATATGGATATTTTATTTTTACTGCGATCACTTGTAGGTCAGAGTTAATTTCTATTTTTTGTTGAGGTATGTTTTTTCGTACCATGGTAAGAACACCTCCATGTGCTCTACCGCCAATTATAGGGTTCATATTCTTGCTGTACGAATTGTATCCTTTGAAATTGTAATTTGTTTCGGGAAGTAGGTGAGTTTCCTGTAATCCTACAACACATGGTTCGTACGTATATATTAGGTTTCGGAGCTCATTGTTTTTTCTCAGAATTCCTGATGCATTCCATTGAATGATATTTTCGAAGGCAACTTTTTGTTTTGATTCTTTGTTTGTGTTCATTGTTATGTCTATTTATTTGATTTTTCTTCTGCTTTTTTTGCCTCTGTTTCATTTGCTTCATCTCTATCTTTTCCTGTTCTTGGTATATTTTTTTCTTCAACTCTAGTTTTGTTGGGATTTTTAATTTTCTCGCTTATTGATGGTATGCTTCGTTCGCCATCAGTATTGCTATCGATACTGCTGACGCGCTTTCGAGGTCTCCCTAGGGTCCATCCTCTCTTTCTCCTTACTTCCTTGAATTCCTTGTCATCATTATTTTCAGTGTTGTTTTCAGTGTTTGGGTTCTTTGTGTTCCAAGGTTTTATTTGTGTCTCGTATTTGGCTTTCTCTTGATCACTGACTTGGTTTATCTCCATTTTTTCGCTTGGCGTTGGTATTTTTGGGGGAGGTATATTTTCTAGTTCTTTGGCTTTTTCCGTTGTTTGATCATTTGGGTTTTGCCGTGGAATGTTTTGGTTTTCCACCACAT